CTTGTGAAGAGCGGTTAAGATAATAAGTCATGACAGAGAGTGGTAAAGTTACTCATTTGAAAATCTCTGGCATCACGATGCGCTGTCTGTGCTCGACAGTCACGCTGTTCTCTGTGTGGGTTTGTGATGACACGACCGGCTCACTGAGAGTCCCGCATCGGCCACATTCATTAGTGTAATACGGCTGACCTCACACTCAATGCAAAGCACATACTCAGTCATGCCTTCTCTTAACGCTTCCTACAGGTGTGTGTCTTCTTATTGTTCACTATTGCCCTGCTGCCCTTTATCTTAAAGTAACTCTAAAAACAAATGTTTTGGCTCAACAAAATTATTTTCAACAAACTACATTGAGTTAGAGGAACATAATTTGTGACATAAACATAATTTTTTTAGTTGATTACATGAGTCAGATTCATTGAACCAATTAATCTGATCAATTTCCGTTCAAATTAACAGCTAGCATAGCACTTGCTATATATATACTGTAACTTATTTATGAATATTAATGAACAAGTTCGATTTATTCTTGTCACTGCCATTAACACAGTCCTTGCGCCCATCCACATCCTAACCACGAGCACTGCTTTTCAGCACAATTGTAACCACAAAAACTTCAACACAACAGAAAATGTCAAATGTAACAGAAACTCGACTTCTGTGGGCTCTAAGCAAAACTTTGTGTTGTGGCCCCTGTCAGTGCGTTCATAAAAAAAACAAAATGACCCTCAACCTCTTAATTTGTTCTTTCAGAGCAGTTTCACTATCAACAAACAACAGTGAGTTGAAAGAGTCAGTAAACAATAAAATATAATAAAATATTTGTACAATAGAAAAAAGACACAAATGAAAGAAACAATTTAGCCTTCTAATAATAATAGTATACGATACGGAAATTGAATCGAGTAATCAAATATAAAAAAATAAAACACTGCATAGTCTGCTTCACTGTATGAATGAAATATAGGCCTACATTGATTCTTATTAAATTTACTAAAGTTATTCAGTGAAGTGCTCTCGTGATTGTAAATTCTCTCGTTTTCTTTTGTTATTTGATGTCACTTTAAGACCAAATGCACATTTCATTTGCTCCGTATGAATATTGTTGGTGTTACAGGGTTTGAATTTCGGTGGGGGATTGCGCACATTGCATATAATTTTACTCATTCCCGCAGATTTTGTGCTCACTCCCAAATTGCGTGCACATAAAGCTGCCTTAAGTACGAAATTGAGTTCTTTTTCGCTTCTTTTTACACACAAAATAATGTCAAAATGCCAGTCTTGGCGAGTAGTGGATATGTTTGCATCACCTCTGTAATTAAGCACTCTTGTCAAGTTTATTTATAGCACTTATACACAACAGATTGCCTTAAAGCAAGCAGCTTTGTATTAAACATGAAAAAACATTGTCAGCGTCGCTTTCAATAAGTACAACTGCAATTTCTATTATAAAGCAGCTCTCCAGTGTGTTCATAATTTTACTTGTGTCTGACCTAGATGGACTGAACAGAAGAAATGAACTGGAAAATGTTTCCACGTCAAAGGAGGTAGAGCCACATAACACTTCTACCTAATACGTAATGTCCACGGACCAATGGTAGTTCAAAGGTGTTTACCAGTCGGAGCTAACTTTTCCAAAAAGTTTGTTTTGGCAAGCTCTTTTGAACTCCAGTTTTCATTTCAAAATGCTCTCTTTCACACTATTCTCATCTACAGGGAACCATCGGTAATCTTTAAAATCATCTTACTGCGCATATAATAATTCATTACATTTATATAGCGCTTTTCTTGGCACCCAATGTGCAACATCCAGTGGCCTCACTAACACCTCTTCCAGCAGCAACCTGGTTTTCTCAGGAGGTCTCCCATCCAGGTACTAACCAGGCTCAGCCCTGCTTAGCTTCAGTGGGCAACCAGTCTTGGGCTACAGGGTGATATGGCTGCTGGCAAATGGGAATCATAATAAAATCTCACTGAGATAATACAGAGAGACAAGACAAAGCTCTCACGCAATTTCTGGCACAATTAATCACGCCACCGGCCTCGCGCCATTCTCTCGGCCTCGTCCTGCTTGCCACAGTCATCTATAAGATGTTGTAATTAGGATTTTGCGAAGACGAAGATGTGCTGCAAGACCTTTCCGGCGGAGAGAGCATGCTCTTAAGTGCACCGTACCAGAGTTCGTTTGGAACCGGAACGAGATCACCTCTTCAGCTGGGTCTGTATTCACACCTGCCCAAAAGATGCACACCAAGGGGGGAAACGAACTTGAGTTTGATTCAATCGAACCGAACAATACGTCTTAGATGTGTTTTCAAACGTGCCCAGATTAATGTCGACGTAGCCTTAATTTCAATATATATTCTCCTTATTCGGTCCAATGCAATGCATGCTGGGAATTAAAAATCTACTACCCAATTTTTTAAGTTATCAAAACAAATAACTTAAAAAATTTAAATAGATTAAAAAAAAATCAATTAACGCAGCAATTGTTGTTTAAATTACACACCACATTAAGTTAATGAAATGATCTACATTAGTCAACAGAACTCATCATCGGAGTTTTAGGACACCATCAGGTCACTTGACGGAGTTTTTCGGTTCCTTGCCACTGTTGCCTTTGGCTTGCTCAGTTTGGGGATTTTCAAATTAAATGACCCATCATACCATTGACTAGCTCTACCAAACTTGGATGTCTTTTTTCCAGTAATAAACAAACACTCTTAGGTTGTTTTGATTGATACTGTGAAGCAGCTTTGATACAATCTGTATTGTGAAAAGCGCTATATAAATATATTTGACTTGACTTGACTCATCAAAGTAATTTGTGACTTAAGTTTTAATTAAATCAATAAATTATAATTTTTTTACTTGCAACCATGCATTTATTTAAGTTGTGGTGACTGGTCCTCTGAATTTTTTTTTAGTGTAGATAACTAATCTAGTGCTTTGAATGGTTGTTGGGGCATTGCTATGCAGTTGTTAAGGTATATAAAGTCTCAATAGTGGCGAAGAATTTCTCCCTATGCAGATTTTCCATTGTGTTCTACTTTATTGATCTTTGGCACATGAATTCGCCATGTTGATCAATAGAAAGGAGCGTGGTTTGGCAGCTCTGTCCTCTGTGTAGGTGGTGCTTTGTATACACCGCTACGCTGTGTACTTACGTTTTTAGGGTTAGTAGTTTGTTCAAACTTTGTTAATAAAAACTTTAGCGAACACCACTCAGTAATGGAGTAAACAAAGATTGTAGATACTGAGGCACCAAAACAGTTTTCCCAAACACACTTGAATCTAAGCCGTGCCGCCCCCTCTCCATCATGTTTTGTGAGCACAGCTGGCATCCGAAGAGATGCGCACCAAGCAATGAATTGCTGGAATCATGTTTTCCTAATCCAGCCCTACAGTTATCCACTGAATATGTGTGTCTCCCCTGCTTCAGTCCAGTCTAAACCCAGCAGTGCTTTTCTTTTTTCATTCTCTTCGCTTTAGCTTGCCCTGACATTTTCATGACACTCTTGTTGTCTCTGTGGTCCTCATGCTTCCATGTTGGCCTCCGCTTGCACTTTGTTGCTTCGACATTTCCATTGTCGCTTAATGAGAGTAACTGTTGTTGAAGCTCCCAGTGTGCTTTGATTAGATATGCTCTTCTCGTCCACCAGCGGATGTGCGGAGAGATGAATTGCAGGCTTTTGAGTTCTTTGAGTTCAACCTCCGTCAACACAAGGCCAAAATAATAGCCAAAAGTGGATTATTTGGGGTCAGAGACCAGTCAGACTCAACCCGTGCTGAGTTCCCTGTATGCTGGGAATTGGATGATCATGAAAAAGCTCTTCCTTTACGATGTTGAGGGGGTCTTAGGGCGTTTTCACGCCTGAAAATCCGCACCAAAGTTCACGTTTTGATACATTTTATACTTTCAGAAAGTTTTGGTTTGGTTTCACACTGCAATTATGCGAGCGCACTAAAGAACTTTACGTGACATACTTGTGTCCTGTCGTCATCATCTATGTGGGCTGCATCTTGACATTGATTGGTTTTGTAAATGGACGTGCGTCTGACGTCAGCGTGTTGTCAATTCGGCGGGTAACTGACAACATGAATGAACAGACGCATATCGTTGCAACTATATTGTTATTTTTATGGCATAATTACCTGCAGCACCAACTATACACAAGGCTAGTTCAAATTCGCCAAATGAACGTCCTCGTCGTGCGAACATTTTATCGTCGCCGGCAGGAAAGGAGGAGAAGACTGCAAGTTGACTTCTTATTATGTCATCAGACCATACTTCAATTTAAAAACCTTGTCTCCTCCTCTCCCCATGTGCTACCACGGCTCATTTTTCCTGCCACCTTCTGTTTTTTTCGGCTATGCGGGAACCACCGGAACTTCCTGTAAAAGGTCTGAAAGTCCGAACCATACAGAAATGCTTTCACACTAGAAACGAACCAAACCTTTGTTCAGTTTGATCCGGACCGAGACTACCTCTTTTCATCGGACCAAATTTCATCTGTTTGGTCCGGGGGAGGTTTCACACCTGTAATTTTGATTCGGACCAAACTGAAAAGTCCGAAAGTCCGAACCAAACAAGGTAGGTGTGAAAGGGCCCTTAGAGGATCTGGTCTGAACTTGATCTGACATTGATTCAACCCTCCATCCATACTAATATAATCATTAATCTCCATTGTTTTCAATGTTCTATAAAACGTATTGCTGAAAGAGGAACTTGATAAAAACAGACCATTAAAATGATTTCATTCATTGGTAAAAAATTTGGGGGGGGAATCCAGATTTTCATAAACTTTTGAAATAGACGATCTGAGTATTTTGAAAATACTACCTTTCAGAACTCAAAATGATCTTCCAAAATACTTTCAGAAATTTCCACTAAACCTCTTCTATCGTTGTCAAGTTTACTTCTTTCAACCAATACGAATTGAAGTATTTCATGCTCTGATTACTTTTTAATACTTGCTCTGTTTCTTTCTGAATTCTAGACTTTGACTGGAGCCACTTCTGGTTTTGGAGTCATTTTGTGGATTACCTGCAGTGCGTGCTGGCGTTCACTGTGCTGGCCACCTACATGACGTACCTGCTTCTGGACTCGGTTCTGTTCGTAGAGAGCCTGGGTTTCCTTGCCGTATTCACGGAGGCCATGCTGGGAACACCACAGCTTTATTGCAACTACCAGAACAAATCTACTGAAGGAATGAGGTTTGTTCTGCTAATGTTCTTACCATAAAAAGAAGGGTTCATCAGAGGTTCTTCAGTGATATTAATAGTTTAATCTAGACGTTTGTCTTCCTGAAGATCGCATTTATTATGAATTGGTGTTTGGGTTTAACATTCTTTACGCTAGTACTAATAAATTAAAGAAACTAATAAGATGGTTTCCTGAACATTATGCCCCAAACTCAATCCATTGGTTTAGCCAATTTTCCTGTGTTGGATGCTCCAACAGAGCAATATTGTGCAGGATTTTTTTTAAAAATACTTTTAAGATTTTAATTAACCTATTAACGCATTTTATTTGTAAGTTGCCAGCCAGAGCCTGCATTTTTAACCATATTCATAAAACTTGAATGGCCCCCAGAATATTTTGTTGTATGAATATGTAAAAAGTAAATATATCAAAAGAAAGAACAGAGCCTCTGCTTTTAAAAACACACCTAGCTTCATTCTTTTTTTATCAATACGTGAATATGGGTAAATTTTGTACAAAAAAAATATAATCAACATAGACAGAGTAGATCGAGTCCATCAATGTTTGCACAGTCATATACCCATTTGTTGGTTTCAACATTTTTCTCCGCTATAACATTAGGCAGTTTTAAATTATATGCTGTTGAATGTTTGATGATCATATTAGCTTACTTGTGCACAAGCAATATCACTCCTCCTTGTTTATGCAGATCAGTTTATGCACTTGTTTTTGGATCCAGATATGCTGTACTATTTCAGAAGATCCGTAACAGCGCCCCTATCGTATAACAGTGAAAACCTGGATTCCCTTTCCACCTATTTTTATGGGCATTTTGGGATATCGCATAATAAACTGCTGGATGGAAACACCAAGAAGCGCATAAATTGTAAAAGCGTGCATAAAAAAACGTATGCGCTTTTTTTATCCATATAAGAAAACATGTGCATAAACTACAATGGAAACACATTTACAGAATAAATTCCTCAATGCGCATAAAAAAAATCATGTGACTGCGCGATGGGACGGCATAACTGGACTAACCAGCGGAACGATCTTTTTGCACAGCATCTGAAATGCTTTTTTGGTTGTTCTGAAATCCCTGAGCAAAGTGTGTTGTCAAAGTGGTTCGGTAGAATTACGTTCCAGAACTGTCTTGCACGACTGCGTTCCCAAACAGCAGGCATCCACCTAGGAAAGCAAGATAATGCATTTATTGTGTTTCATCTGCTTGCTCTTAGACACAAGTAAATTGTTAAATACAAAAATATATTTAGATACAGTGGCTTCTCCTACTTTTCTTAGTGATATTTAGTGTCAGTTTATCAGGAAATTACGATTTTGTTCTCTTCGACTGGATGCCCTGCTTTATTTGCAATACTCCAATTTTGCGCACAAGTTAAATTTTGCAACTTTGGATGGAAACAGCTATTGCCGCCAATAGCTGTTTCCATCCAAAGTTGCAAAATTTAACTTGTGCGCAAAATTGGAGTATTGCAAATAAAGCAGGGCATCCAGTCGAAGAGAACAAAATCGTAATTTCCTGATAAAGGAAAGTGTTTTGTCATAAATGACAGAAAATCTCGTCAATGGTGGGGAAAGAGTTAAAGGGTTAGTTCACCCTCATGTTGATCCAAACCCATAAGATATTCGTTCATCTTACACAAATGAAGATCTTTTTAATGAAATCTGAGAGCTTTCTGTTCCTCCATTGGCAGCCTACGCAACTACCACTTTCAAGCTCCAGGAAGCTAGTAAAGACGTTGGAGATTCATATTTTGTAACAAACAAAGCACAGGTTTATGGGTTTGGAGCGACATGAGGGTGAGTAAATGATGACAGAATTTTCCTTTTTGGATGAACAAACCCTTTAATGGCTTACTTACTGTGGCTATTGGGACAAACCAGTGCGTAAATACAGCAAAGCATTGTTGCATTTCATATACAAAGCGAGTTTTTACATACTCTTAAAGGCACTGAATTAGGAGGCCCATTTTACTTTTACTACATATACAAATTTACTATGAACAAAACAATTGATCTATCCAAAGTTTTTTTTTTTTGACCTCGTAATTTTAAATCAAAATGTCATAACTTTATCTTCTGGTGAAATGACAGACTTGCTGCTGATGTATGCTGGACTTTTTTTTTCTTTTTGGATAATGTTACACATGGTCATGGATATACGTCACAATACAGAATAAAAAATCTGTCACTACTTCCATTTTAACGCAATTTTAAATTATAAGGCTCAAAGACAGTGGAAATGAAAAAATGGTGACATAAACCTTGATTAACACTATTAGTGGACCTTTAGGAGGGAAAAGAATAAGTTGCTTAAAAAAAATTCTGATATGAGTACTTTGACATTTTAATTTTCACTCTAACCCTCCACGGGAAGTGAAACGTGGCGGCACAGTCACTCCTTGATGTCTCCTATTCAGACTTCCTGCTCAACTGGTTTATGAAACACTGTTGCTAAGCTACGGGAATCCCATATACAGTAGATACCTTATACATTAGCTGGAATAGTGGACTTTTTAATTTAATTTAAAAAAATTATTTCGCTGTATAGATTGTATGACCACAAATTAAACAAAGAGCAAATTAAGGTATAAAACATGTCACAGTGGTAGAAACTGAACTTAATGAAGAGAAAATGAATCGGACAAAAATAGTAATCAGGTAATTGTTTATAGTGATTGTATAAGATGCGTTGTATAGGTGTATTATCTTGCATAACCTTTTGAGAGATGCAGTGTGTGTGCTGTAAAGACACGTCCTGTCAGTGTGACTTTGTGTATTTGGTAACATCTCACACTGTGAGATGCCATCCTGTGCTCTGTTTTTTGGTGTGTGTGTGTGTGTCCATTCATTCACTCTCACTGATTTGATGGCACAGGCGGGGAGCTGCCACTGGCATCATGCCAACCTGACAAGATGAGGGTTGCTGTGTGTGTGTGTGTGTGTGTGTGTGTGTGTGTGTGTGTGTGTGTGTGTGTGTGTGTGTGTGTGTGTGTGTGTGTGTGTGTGTGTGTGTGTGTGTGTGTGTGTGTGTGTGTGTGTGTTTTTTATGTTTTTGTGTGTGTGTGTGTGTATTTAAACATCTGTGCAAACCTGCCGATAGAGTCTGGATTGTATGTATATGTGTGAATGCAAGCAGGGTTATTTGTATATGCTTATGTATTTTTAAATTGAAGTTTGCTGCTTTGTGGTGGACAGTAGTGTATGTAGGTTTAGCTGTGGGGGTGTTTTAGAAAGAGGGATTAAAACGGGGGAAGGATATAAGAAAACTGTATGTATATAAATATATACACTATCATTCAAAAGTTTAGAAAATTCTTTGAAAGAAGTTTTTGTTATGTTCACCAAGGCTGCATTTATTATGATAAAAAATACAGTAAAAACTGTCATATTGTGAAGCATTATTTCAATTTAAAATAACAGTTTTCTATTTAAATATATTTTCAAATGTAATTCATTCTTGTGATGGCAAAGCTGAATTTTCAGCATCATTACTCCAGTCTTCAATTTCACATGATCCTTCAGAAATCAGTCTAATATGCTGATTTGATGCTCAAGAAACTTAAAATTATTATAAATGTTGAAAACAGTTGTGATACTTAATAGTTTTGTGAAAATTAAAATAGACGAAAAATTTGTGGAAACGCTAATTTTTTTCAGGATTCTTAGATGAATAGGACGTTCAAAAAAACGTTTCAACGTTTTCAAAAAATAAAAATCTTTATAACATTATACATGTTTTTACTGTCACTTTTGATCAGTTGATCTAAACTTTTTAAATGCTATCTCTGGAAAGCTTGATTCGAAATGAACAATTGTTAGATCTTGCATTATTTTAGTTTCATGTCTCTCGTATCGCTCCACACTGCATACTAAAGTAATTTCAAACATAATAAAACAACCTACTAAAATAATAAAACAATTTCAGCTCACCCATAATAAAATAATTCAAGTCTCCCTGGTTTATTGGGATCTACCTGTTGTATTATCTTGTCAGTGTTTATTTTGCGGTAATGACTGACTGGCTGCACATCATTCTGTTTTTACCTGACTACTAACCAAATGATGAGTATATCTGCAAGCACATTACTGTGTCACAACTGCAACTAAATGTGTATAATCTAATTAATAAAAATTTAAACAATTCAAAATTCATAATCCTTTGTCTAGGAATAGGCTACACTTGTTATAGAGTTTACAACAGTTTGAACGTTCTGTTGCATGACCCAGTTTCGGCCAAGCTTTAGCTGTCGGACAGATGGCCTCATATTTAATAATTTGCTGGGACGTCCACTCCTGGGAAGATTGGCAACTGACTTGAATGTTTTCCACTTGTGAATAATCTTCCTTACTGTAGAATGATGGACTTCAAGTTGTTTGGAAATGGCCTTCTTACTCTTGCAAAAATGGCTTCTCGAAGATCATTGCTGATGTATTTCCTCCTTGGCATTGTCTTAACACACACCTGAATTCTCTATACCAGCAAACTGCCAAAACTTCTGCTTTTATAGAGTTGGTCACGCTTGCTGTTGATCCATTAATCAAGGACATTTGATTAGCAGCGCCTGACTGCTACTTACTCTCTTAATTCTTATGGAAGCAGTTAAGAGTGTGCTTAATCTTTTTTCAAAAGGATGTACTTTCTTTTTCACATGACTGTATTATGGCATTATGGCACATATGGCAGTACATTTTTAGAATGAAGCATGTATGCACATTCATCTGTAAGTGGTAATGAGCTACTGCTGTGAACAGTTGTACAGATTTGCCTTTGCATCGTTGAGGCCAGAGACCTTCAGTCTTATCCTCACCTTTATCTGGTTTACGTTCCCTGAATGTCACATCGAGTAATTTATGTTACTTGCAGTGCTTGGGAAAAGTTTGTATCAGATTCAGATCTACGCCGTGTTCTGTGCAGACCCACCACAATCACAGATGATTCATCTCCTGGAGACAGCCTTGAATTACAAGACTAAATTGAATTAAGTTT